TTTTCTGTAACAGGTGGAAAGAGCATTAATAATGAGGGGAATAAGGGCAGGTTTCAAAGGGGAAGGGTGTAGCAGTAAAGGAAGGCAGAGATTAGCAGATGCAAGAATGAGGAGGGAATCATTCCAGACATTGGCGATGGCTTGTGGGAACACAAGGAGGTAATAAATAAAATGTCAAGTATCAGGAATAGCCAGCAGCCCAAATTGGCAAAAACAAAGTACGTGAAAGGAAGACACCTGAGCTAAGTTTGGAGAGGTAGACTCAAGTCAGACCGCAAATAGGTCTTAAATTAGAGACTGAGGAGTTTAGATTTTAAATCCAGAGGCAAGAGGCAGTCAATGAAAATTGTTGAGTAGAGGTTTGCATAAATAACGGTGCCTAAGGAAGATTATTTGGCAGAGGTGTGAAGGATGGATCAGTGATGGCTAAGACCAGAGAAAGACTAAATAGGAGGCTATTATAATAGCTTAAGCAAGAGATGTTGAGGACAACTAGGATAATGGCAATGTGAAGTGACAGAAGGAAACCATTTGATTTATTACAGAGGCAGAAATGATAGAATTTGACAAACAAATGGAAGTGGGTGTGAGGAAGAAAAAAAAGTCAAGGAGAGCTCAGATCTCTCTCAGTTCCTAGTTGGCAGAACTAATTTTGAAATTATTTGGCTTCTAGACCATGCCCCCAGGAAACCTATGATTGGGATTGAGAAATCTCATCAGTTTCTATGATCATATTAGCTTTGTTACTCACACCTCTGATAGGAGGGTAGAGCCACAAACTTTTACGTGTAAGTGAATAGGACTGACGTCTCATTTCCCGCCCAGCTGTACTCATTTTAGGCTTATCTGGTTTCTCCACCATACCTCCCCTTTTCACCTTTCTTTTGTAAAAAGCCTTGTCTTTCTCCATTAGATTGTAAACTCTTTGAGGGCAGGGATTATCTTTCTGGTTTTGTATTTATATCCCCAGAGCTCAGCACAATGCGTGGAGGACTTTTTTTTTTTTAACTGTCATGTTTTGTTTGTTATTAAAAAGATGATACATTCTTGGGGCAGCTAGGTGACACAGTAGAAGTCAGAAGGACCTGAATTCAAATCTGAACTCAGACCTTGACACTTACTAGCTGTGTGACTCTAGGCAAGTCACTTAACCCCAACTGCCCCCCCCCCAAAAGGGAGATGATACATTCTTGTATTCACTTTAATGGGGGGCGGGGGGAGAAGGACAGCAAATGACTTAAGAGCCAAAAGAGGGAAAAAAAAAAACAGAGTCATAGAATTTATTCCCAGATCACAATCATGTCTACACTATCTAAATAAAACATTTTCATTCTAAAGAGAACTTGACAGTAATTTTGTAGCGTATACATTACCACCATCAACCCTAATTTTTATAGAAAGTAGTAACCGTAGTGCAGATGACAAAAAAAAATAATGGGAAGACACAAGGTAAATGGAAGTCAGAGAGAATATATTACCAGCAATGATTTACATGAAATAAAATGGGATAAAAGACAACATCAAGAACAAAGGAGGTGGACTAAACTTGCATCCCTCAAATTAACACACATACACACTTACTTCTTACTTTTTAAGCCTGGGAACCTAACCAACATATAGTATTGTTTTAACGGGAAAACGCAGATAGCATTGCAAACAGATTTTAAAATGAATTTTTAGAACACAAGCTGTTCCAAAATTGGAAATCACGTTTAGTAAATTTCTATTTTGTTTTCATTTTTCTCTACTGAAATGATATTCAAACTGCAGGAGTCAGAACAAACATGGTTTAAAGTAGAACAAACATGGTGCACAGATCTACCACTGTCCAGTACAAGCCTCATAAGTATCCCCTAATAAAACATATTTACTTCCACGATGGTGTGGACTGCCCTTCTCTCTTAGGTATCTTGGTATTGTCTCAGAGTGTCTGCTGCCCTAGACTTGGCATAACAAGGACAGAACAGCTCTGCCTCCCTGCAACTGGCATAGTCAGCAGATTACCAAAGAAATGGGCCTGGGCAGAGAGGCCTCTTCTGAGGGTCACCCATACCCCTGGGGGGAGGGGTGGCCTGCATGCTATTTGTCTGCCTTGGGCCCAGAAAGAAGGTGGGGAGAGGGGGTGTTGTGGCAGAATTCCTGAGGCTGTCACTCACATCCAGGGACAAAGGGATGGCCAACTGGCTTATGCCAGTTTATGGAAGATTTATAGCCTAGGCAAACAGGAGACTTTCAGCACTGGTATGAGAGACTTTGAAATGGAAATTATTGTCATAGGACAAAGAACAGAATAACCTAGAGGCAAAAGATGGAAGTGAATTGAAGACAGGGAAAAAGGAAGAATGTTCCTCTCCTCTTGCTCTCCCCTTCTCTAATGGCAACTGAGTCAGAGGGCTGTCAGGAGAGAGACAGGGGAAGAACAAGTCAGTAAGGTGAAGATCTTTTGGAGTATGGTAAAATGGTTCGATCAGAACACACAAGAAACAAGACAGGAGGAGTTTTGAAGGGTAATAATTCATTAAGCTGTGTGTGTGTGATTGAGTGAGAGAGAGTGAGAGAGAGAGAAGAGAGAGAGAGAGAGAGAGAGAGAGAGAGAGAGAATGAGAATGGTCTCTGGAGACATATAGTAAGGACTGAACTGAGGATAGCAACATACTTGTGAGTTTTGCTTATTATCAGGCAAAGAGGAGTAAATATTCAAAAGGCTGGTAGCTGAAAAGCCTCACTAGCAAGAGAATATTAGGGCTACTATTTCACAGCTGGTGGTCTGCTTGTGTGTTTTTCTGTGCCTGTATCTGTGTGCCTTTCAGATTCTGTGCGTCTGCAATTACGCACATGGAGTTTAGAGGGAACACCTGGCGGACAAATCTGTATCTCAGTGTCTTGTTAACTAACCACTCTGGGAGCTCTCTAAGTTTACAAAAAGATTACTCCTTTCCCATCACATTCTGGAATGATGGCAAGATTCATGGAGTATGGGGCAAAAGACAGATAAGAAGTAAGGGAGTCTTTTCTTTCAAGACTATATAATGTTTTTACATCATAAACTAATTAGTTTGGGATTAATATATATTCTCTACAGTGAATCCTGAAATTTTCAAGCAAATTTTGGGTGCACATGCTTTAGAATTTGTTTTAAGGGAACTAAGAGGATTTCCCACCACCCAAAATAACAGATTTATCATTTTGCAGCTAGAGAAGGTCATCTCACTGGTTATAAAGAAGCAAGGGTGGCGTCAGTGAGTTCTCAAAGGAAAAATAACTTTGAAGAAAGAGTTATTAATAACTCTTTCCTAGTTCACGAAAATGAGGAAAAGGTTTGGAATTAAGCTTGAATGGAATATTTAGTTAGATACTTGAGGAGTCTTACAAACTAAAGTTAAATACTGTTTTGAAATTAGAAATTTTATTTTATACTACACAAGACTCCTACACATTTTTGTAATAGATTATGTTCAATCTGAATTTTAGGAACTGTCAGGCTTCCTCCCTATAAAAAGAGAAGCTTATTTAAGGGAGCAGGAAAAGCAAGCCCAAGCCCTCCTGAGAACTGCCAGATAGATCAACTACAATAGCTTGAGAAAAATCCTCCCAGAAAGGTCCATTACTGAGTGATGAGAATCAGTAAGGACTGGAAAAATCACGAAAATTATGGAGACCACTTCAGAGCTGCCCCGAGAACAAAACCTATCACAGAATTTCCAAAAAAAGATGTTTCCAGAGAGTAGACGACCACATGGAACATCTAAGATCCAAGACGAAATGCGCTGATTAGATGGGAGGAAGTTACTAAGATAACTTGATGTTAGTTAATGCTGACAACCATTACTGTGTTACTTGGGCTTCTTGTTTCACTGTATCCATATGCTGAGTTCCCTCAGTCATGTTGTTATCATGTGAACTTCCCCTCTAAGATCTGATTCATAGTTTTAGGTATTCTTGTACTATCATTAATCAATCTTGTCCTTAACATTCACCAGTCAGGGAAAATTGTGTAAGGTCTTCCACTGACAGAAAGAGGGAAATTGAGAAAATGAATAATCCTTATTCTGTTTTGTAACTGATTCTAATCTGTATCATACCCCCTGCCAACTCCAATCTGTTGTAAAATTCCCCAAGCGATGTCTCTTTGTTTCTGAACTTAGTTCAGAATTTCTGCTAGTCTGTAAAGTGTTAACTTCAGGAATTCACTTCTATGACTAAGCACCAAACGCCACTGACACTTTCCTTGCCTCCCCCCAGGGTAGCATGTAAGGAAACTGTTAACAATTGTGCTAGTTCTCTCGCTGTTTGTGTTACTCCCCTATTTATGCTTATATCGCTGTTGTAGACTGTGCCTCCAATGCCGTTCACTGGTAGGCTCCTCTGCTTCCTCCATGCTAACGAAACCACTCGTGCACTGCTCAGGGAACTCTGCAGAAGATACTATGGGAAAGAATGTAAAAGCCATCCTGGGCAGAATGCCTTCTCTATTCTGTTTCAATATAATACCTGATCTGGCCTAAGAGTTGTGTGCAGAACTACCACTGTCCTGCTGCCATCCAGGACAAGCCTCGTGAGTAAGCTTCCTCCCAATAAAATCTATTTGCTTTCATGCCAGCATGAACTGCCCTTCTGAATTCTTGGGTATCTCAGTATTCTCTCACAGGGTCTGCCACCCTGCAATTGGCATAATCAAGACAGAACACATGTGCCACCTTACACATACTTGAAAGCACATATTAGTATGTAAGTTCAGGATACAAGGATCAACAGTGGAAGAGAACAGACAAATCAATAATAGAGAGCTAAGGTAAAAGTTAAGCATGAGGCAAAGAATGTCAGGTATCAGGAATAGTGAGCTGGAAAAACATGTCACTTCCTATGTGATCTTATGTCTGAAGCTCTCTTCTAAAACTGATGTTCTGAAATATTTTCAATATTAAGTACCTAAAAATGTGTTTCAGAATACATTATGTTTTAACAAAAATGCAAACGTCAATTATGGAATAAATACTTACGCTGACCCCATCGGCCTGTTTTAGGGTTCAAATAGTTTGGATAAAGTCCATCAGGCCGATCCATTTTCTGAAGCAGTTTTCGAATGTGCATGACCTGAACAAAACAAAATATAAACAATATAAAACCATGAATGTAAATACAATCAACTGTTGACATTTAGTCTTTTTCTCTCTTGGATTCCATGTTCTCTTTATATGCTATATATTCAATTAGATTTTTACAGAGACTTTTTAAAATTAAAAGATATTTAATTAACAGAAAATTTTGCTTATACGTTTTCCTAAAAGAAAAAAGTTAATTTTATTAATAAAATAAAGAACAAATTCCTGACAAACAAATTCTCAGAGTATGCTTACTAAGTTTTATTAATTTTTCTAACGTTGTAACAACTCCAACTTACTGAAACTACGACTGACCTTTTGGTAGTAGACTGGGTCCCCTGTCAAATAGCTGAGGTGGACAAATTCCATATGTAGGGTACCAAATTCAGCCAAAATGCTGCTACCTGCAGAGGCCCAACCCCAGTTTCGCCCAATTCCACTGAAAAATAAGAGGGATAAAATTAAAACAGGTGGAAAATCTGGAAAAATTATCAATGAATACACATAGTTTATATATATATATATATAAAAAATTGATTAGTGCATATTATAGTTTAAAATGCAGTTTGAGTATGCCCTAGAAAAACTTCACAAGTCAACAGAGGTAAAAAAGAGGTCTCATTGTACAAAAACTGTGAACCACATTAATCTCCTGAAATTCATAAACTGGAGATTATCCAATAATAGCATCTAACATGAAAATTAAATTCTTATATCTTACACTTAACAGCAGGATGTAATAAATAACGATCACCAGCATTACCATGTGAGTGAGGGAAACCTTCTCCAAAGAATCTTAAAAGAACAGCAGGATTTAAACAAAGGATGGGCAACATTTCAGATAAAGAGTTTCAAAAACGCAGAGGTGAGAATCTCTATGGTACATTCAGGAAATAATGGGTATACCAACTTCATTAAAGCTGAACATTCATATATATAAAGGGTAAAAGCAGAAGATAAATGAGTGGCAATGAAATCATTGAGATGTGCTGTGATAAAGGGCTAGGTTAGGATAATAGTTTGAATGAAAAATCAAGAATGGGTACAAAGGACATCACAAAAGGAAGAACCTACAAGAACTGGACAATGATTAGATAGATACAAGAGACAGATATAATGATAGAATCAGGGGGTGAAGTCAAAGATGACTCTACAGGATCAACTAGATGATTTCTGAAGATCATTACAATTCTGAAAATTTATGATTTTATTACAGATTTTGAACCTGAGTGATTGGAAAACTGTGGTACCAATTTAAAAACAGGGGAATGTTTGCCTTTGGGAAATGATGTTTATTTTTAGACTTGGATGGGAAGGACTGGCCAGATTAGCCATCCAATGGATAAAGATAAAGAACAGACGTTTAAGAGATGTGGGCTAGGGATACAGAAATAAGAATGTCTACCTAGAAGTAATAGCTGAATCTAGGAGAATGACATCTCTGGGGTCAAGGGTGTAGTGTGGGAAGAAGGCTTACAACTGAGCCTTGGTCAGTTGGTATTTAGAGGCGAACAGACAAGAAATCACCAGGGAAGTAACAAGAAAGATAGACCTAAAGAGTAAAAATGGAACCAAGATAATGAGCGTCACAAAACAAAGGAAGATTTTAAGGATTAAGTGGGAAATAACGTCAAATATAACAGAAAGATCAAGGAGAATGACAAAAGAACCCTTGGCCTTCAGAACGACGGCATGATCAGTGCCTTAAGAGAGAGCAGTGTCAAAGTATTTTTTAAAGAAACATGTTTGATTACACTGTATGCATTCCATATAACATATTCAGGAGTTTAACAGTAACAAAAGGGAAGGACAACAAATCAATGACAGCCTAAAAGCACTCCTTATGGACTCTGAGTAGAAAATGCATACAAAAAGATGGAAACCAGATTATAAGGAGTGGCTGAAGGGTAAGGAATTACCTGAAGTGAATGGAAAATGAACTGTTTACAATTTGGTAGAAATGAAAGAAACAAAAGGACAGTAACTTGAAGATCGGCAGAAAATGGTCTGTGTGTTTTTTTACAGTGAGAAAGGAAATGAAAGCATTTGTGGTTGGAGGTGAAGGGAAGCATGAAAAAGGAGAGAAAAAGAGGAGATAAATGAGGAAAGAACAAGGTGACTGTACTAAAGCTAGAGTTCATGGATCTGAGGTCTGAGTACAAGTGGAAAGAGAAAGAGAGTGGAAGAAAGAGTGGATGAATATATGCAAAAACTCTGTGGTGGCAAGTAAGAAAGATGAAGATCAGGCCAAAAGCTCCAGATCTTCTCGACAAAAGAACAATTGTGAGGTGGGCAGATGGGAATGCCTGCTGCTGCTTGAGATATCTTGGGATTCTGTTATTCAGTGACATTCTTTTCCATCCTATGGGCATATCTAATCTTCTTGAGCACTTCTACGTTAAGCTACTCTTTGTTCAAGAGGCATCATGGTTTGAATTTTAAAAAAATTTCTTTCTTTACTTTCATTTCAAAACTTAGAAGCCACATAATCTAAGAGAAACAGTAATATACAGGCAGCAATTTTTGTTTCCTGTCAATGTGCTTAACTGAGCAATAAGTCTATTGGTGAAAAGGGAGTAAATAATCCAATATTTGTAGATTTATTAACTTATAACATCACTAAAATTCCTTTGGCAAATTATTCTTCCTAAAACTCTAAACAGGACACTAGCATCATTTCCTGCTAAAGTATGAAGTCTAGACAAAGTAGAAATCTTTTCTTTTTTTCAAGTCATCTATTTCTCTTTTTGCGCATGTTGGAGAGATTAAGGAAAACAAACTTGTGATTTCATCAGGATAAGGAACTTTTGGTGTGAAAATTTCCTGCAACAATGCAGATCTTCAGCTCCTGTATTACTCCCTAGGTAACTTAATTGTTTGGGGGAACTGAAAGATTAACTGGTTTGCTCATGATCACACTATGTCTTAGAGTCAGGACCTGAATCCAGGGCCTTCTGAATCTTTGCCTGGTCCTCCAGCTACTGCAAGCCTTTTTCCTTAGCAATGTCAAAATTCAAAAGTAATATTACTTTTTATTCAGCCATTTAGCAAACAACATTAAATAATTTTCACTACACATCACTATGCTGCTTTCAGCTCGTCTTACATTTTAACTAAAACTACCAAACAATAAAAATAAAAATGAGTAACAATTTATTAAAGATATCAGTGAGGCTAAGAGTTATATTTACATTTAATTACTATAATAGCAGAAGCTTTTTTTTCTTTTAAAAAAAATCTTGGTTAATACTTTCTATTCTGTTTAAATAACAGAAAGGCATAACAGCTAAATGATAAGTATGAAAAAAAATTCACAACCACTTCCTCTACAGACATTTCCCATCATTACAATGTTTGAGTCATATTGTGAATTCATCTAAGAGCAAAAGCTGCCAGTTTTCTTCTTTCGAGCAGAAGTTCTTCTGTTAAACTCTCATTCTACCTCAAATGACATACTTGCTCCTTGAAAAAAAGATTGCTTAAAGGAGTGAATGATTGTACAAAAGCTAGTTACTATAGACACAGGTCATTTTAAAGTTACTGTTAAGATAATGAATGCCATACATCAACATTTAAATTCTTTAATTTTTAGAGTGAATGAATTAAGACAAAAATGCATGCCAAAGTAAACACTTTGGGAAAATGCAAATGACTCTTTCAGGAAAGAGTTATAATTAGGCAGAGTTCAGGTAACACAACCTAAATTGCAACCCACCCCCCAACTGGATCACTTCCTAATTTCCTAAATTCCCTCACAGCAACAATCCAAATCATTGCATTGGAAAAGCCTTGTGATATAAAAAGCACTTTGGATCTGGAGGACTTGGGGTTAACAAAATACAAGCTTTTTGAGGGCAGGGTCTGTTTCATTTTTGTCTATTTGCACAGCATCTGGCAAGCGCTGCTGAACTGAATCTTGTTCAAGTCACCTTCTTCATGTGTTAAATGAAAATGAGGATCCTTTCCAGTGCTAAATACATGCTGTTACAGCTCTTTATTTTTCTTTAGTGAATATTAAATTAAAATATAAAATTATTAGAAAATATTAGGATTTGAAATGTCTTGGTAGAAATTGAATTTTGCCATAAATGCTCTCAGTGGTATTGCTAGACAACAGGTTTTGTAAGAAGAGAACTTTAAGTATTAGAAGTAGAATCGAAAAAGAGTGTTTTTCTTCCTCTGAAGATATTCTGGATTATCCACAAATATTGAGGGGAGTAAGAGCCACAAATAAAAGGAAAAGAAAAGCCCTATGTTTCACCTCCAGGGTTGCACTTAACTTTTATCTTTTATATCCTCTTATGATAATGATCAGGACTTGATTCACCTCCTTGAGAACAGGGATCTATGAGTCTGCATAATTTTGCTGTTCATCCTTCAAAGATATTGGCTACTGGACACTCCTTTCTCTTTTAAAGCCTCCTATGGCAACCTTTCCCATTCCCCACAGCAGGAGAGCAGGAGACCTTGTCTCCTAATATGTTGAGAAAAATAACAAATTACCTGTATTGTTTCCTTTGTTCCTCTACTCTGTATCTTAAAAACCCTTCTAGGGGGCAGCTAGGTGGCGCAGTGGATAGAGCATCAGTCCTGAAGTGAGGAGGACCTGAGTTCAAATCCGGCCTCAGACCAAACACTTGACACTTACTAGCTGTGTGACCCTGGGCAAGTCACTTAACCCCAATTGCCTAAAAACAAAAAACAAACAAACAAAAAAACCCTTCTAATCCCCCATTCTCTCCTCCCTTTCTTGTGTTCCTTTTCTTTACAAAAGGGAATTCCCCTACTTGCATCTGGACCATATTCCTTTCCATCTCCTCCAGGAGTCTTGCCCCTTTGATCAGATCATAGTTCCTTCTAATCTTTCGGTTTTCCCCATCTAGTGGTTCCTTCCCAGAAGCTACAAACATTACAGGTTGCCTTAAAACAAACTTTCACTTATTCATCCCAGGACCTTAAGCCATTATCTTCTACTCACAGTCAAAATTTTATTAAAGATATGCATATTCATTGACTCAAGTTCCTCTCTCCCAATCTGATATCTGACCTCATCAATCAACTGAAACTCTTCTCTTCAAGGTTACCCATGATGTCTTCAGCACTAAATTCAATACTCTTTTCTCAGTCCCACTCCTTGTTGACTATTCTGTAGCATTTAACACTGTTTTACTTCCCCTAAATACTCCCACCTCTCTGATGGTTCCTAACATTGCTTTATCTTGGCTCTCTCCTCCTATCTGTTCAATCAAATCTTTTCATCTCCTTTGCTGCATCAAGAAAGGGAATGGAAAAACATTTATTAAGTGCTTACTATGTTTGCTAAGAACTATGTTAAGTACAGAGGATACAAAAAGAAAACCCAAACACTGCCCTCAAGAAGTTTGCACTGTAATTGGGGATACAACACATAAAGGAGAGGCTCATGTTCATATACAGTTC